TCAACGCCGGAGACCGGCGTTGACCGCCGGTCAACGCCGGAATCCGGCGGAAAAAAAAGTTTTTGAAAAAAAAAAATTTTGTGAAAAAAAAAAAGTTTTGGGTCAAAATTGAATAATTTGTGAAAGTTGGGGTCAAATTGAAGTTAAAGTAAGTTAAGGATGAAATTGGAGCATATTAAAGTAAGAGGGGTTATTTTAGTCCTTTACATAAATCTGGACCATGTGTGGACTTATTGGTAAAGGAGAATATTGTCTGGATCTCTTTATGAATAAGTTCCCACTGATGGGCTTATTTGTAATATGCCCTAATAAAAAAACATTCATATTTTTTAAATTTCCTATTTTTATTTTGGATCAAAACATAGGTATTAAATCCCCTAAAATTCGGATGTACAATCCGAAATCATTTGCGAAATATATTATTCATTCCTAAAAATGCTTACGAGAAAAAAAAGTATGAGTTAACACGTATAATCACATAATATGCACGAGACATGCACTTGATTTGGACGTGAATTTGGTTGGGGAGTCAAGCAAAACAATTTATAATTGATACACTTTCCATTCATAAATTTTTAATAACTAGGAGAGATTACAATACCACGTTTGTTGAAACATAATATAAAATATGTATGATGATTACCAGTGCAAAGATTTCCGTTATTTTTTCAATGGTTTATTTCATATGGGATTAGTCTTGCACTGCATTATTTATTTGAATGGAAGGTAACCATGTGTTGCAGCAAATAATCTATTTTTTTGATGGATAAGGAGCGTTTTATTATGCTCTTAATTATTTTTCAACTAAACTTCTAAAATTTTTAGAAAGTCGAAAAATGTCAAGATATAATTTGTTTGTTATTAATTAATTGGCTAAATTTCACAAATTATTTAGGATTGTACATCGGATTGTAACAATTTCCACCCCTAATTGTCACTAAAGAAGACTAAAATAAATTTCACAAATGATTTGTGATTGTACATCGGAATTTCAGGGGATTAAATACATATTTTTTGATCCAAAATAAAAATTGAAATTTAAAAAATAGGAATGAATTTTGGTTATCCTAAACTATATAAGATAGAAAAAATATTAATGAGAGAGACAGAGAGAGAGAGAGAGAGAGAGAGAGAGAGAGAGAGAGAGAGAGAGAGAGAGAGAGAGAGAGAGAGAGAGAGAGAGAGAGAGAGAGAGAGAGAGACTTATAATGAGGCGAGGTAAACCATAAGGGCTCTTTTGGTTCTGTAGTTGTGATGTATAAAAAATATAGATAATATAATAATTGGGTGGAGATGATAGTGTAATATTTTAAATCTTACATTTGGTAGATATAATAGAAAGCAACGAGATAGCAGCCCAGTGTTTTATTTTTGTAATTTTTTGTGATTAAACATGAAATGACTCTAATACCCTTACATCATCTACATAAAATTGCCATTTTCTCATTGTACCTCCCCCAATTCGAAACCCTAATCTTTGCACCACAAATTTTTTTTTTAAGCTCTGGGTTGGCACAAGAACCATCCAACTACTACAAACATGAGCACTTGTCAAAGTGGTAAGAAAAGTAGCTCAACGACAAACAACTATAGCACATAAAATTTCAGCTCTCCATCCCACCCTGTATTTTGTTATTGTGGTATTGATGTAATCGTATAAACGTCATGGACTAAAGCAAATCCCGGCCGCCGATTTGTGTCATGCCCTCACAGAGAGGTATATTTTTGTTTCATGTCATTATTATTATTTGTTATGTGCTGTTGGTTGATGTATTATTGTGAATTTCTCAAAGCATAATGAAAGTGCAATAAATTTTATTTGTGTATCGTATCTTTTGGTTGAATATTTCAGTTGATTTTGTGTGTCGTATATCAGAGTTGATGTATATGAAAAAATTGTTTGCTGCTATGGTTCATATTAGGGTGCACATTAGTGAAAAATTGGGCGTGAGTTGATCCCTAATTTAATTCCATGTTCTTGGCTAATTTTGCAGGAAAAGAAATGTGAAATGTTTGTTTGGATTGACCCACCTATGTGTGCACGGTCAAAGCAAATAATACCCGGGTTGTTAAAGAAAATAAACAGCTTGGAATCACAATTGGAGCTCAAGAACATCGACGGACCAAAGGATGATTACACCATGTTTGGTTTTCCCCAATTTGGTTTTTTCTTTGTTTTGATTGCAATTTTTTTATATTATGTACTTATGCATTAGGGCCTCGCATATGTAGTTCATAACAAAAAAAATTGTTTAACCTAAAGACTCTACGCCAGAGGTTGTATTTTAAATTTTCTATGTTCATCGTTGTTAATTCGTAGTAATGAATATTGTTTCCATAGCTATTGTTGTTGACTCGTAGTAATGAATATTGGCTCACTGGTCATTCTTGTTACATTGCATTATTTTAGTGTCTGCATCAATTATGGTGGATATTTATTTTGAAGTATAATACATGCATATAAGTTTGTTCATGAGTTTCATTTAAGCATAGAACTAATAAGATCAGTCCGTAAGGAAACAAGACTCATACTAAAATTCGATTTGCATTTAGGCATCTTAATTTTCACCATTGCCGCCATCACTTGGTTCCTCATTCTAGACATCTTAATTTTTTGCAATCCAAAACAAGAGCAATGGTACATAGTGATAAAAGAGACATATGCATAAATACTGATGGCATTCAATGACATATTTATTTTGTAGATATGTTTTATTCATAAATATTTATTATCTTGCTTCAACTTGAACAAAAAATGAAGTCCAATTGGCACCACTGGTTTTCTTTTCCAATGCTTTCATTTTATGGCAAAAGTGAAGAAAACCTGTAAACATCACCTCTGCATCCTTTAATTCGAGTTGGTTGTACAATTAAACAATTAAATTACTACATTATAATATGAGAAAATCAGAATGATAGAATTAAGCCTATGAAAGACATTTGAGGTGAATGAACATGCATTAATATTAATATTCTGCTTAGCAACTTTTGTAATAAATTTTGTTCTTCTGAGGTGAATGAACAATATGGATAGTTAATATCCTTTCCAATTTGACATCAGCCTATCATATCTACATCTCATCCGCCACTTTAGCCAAAATCTTCCACATTCATTTCATAGATTTTTTCTACATCGTCATTATTACGTTTAACATATTTTTGATCTATAAATTCGAGGCATTGTTTCTTTGTAAAACATGCCAAAACAGTACTAGTATTCAAAAATAAATTGTGTAGAATGACAGGAAAAAAACCCAATATTTAGGCAAGAAGATTTCTTGTATGAGTTAGACTGGGATGAAATGATCGATAGCTACTTTATTGAAGCTCTACCGTTCGAGTCCAAATTAGGTAAGTTCAAACGTGGAGAAAAAATGCTTTGGCTTTATTTGCGGCTCAAGAAGCCATCCAACACAAATTTGGCATTTTTTTCTCGTACAAACACCTCACCAAAAAGCTTGGCATTTTAGAGAAAAGGTTCAATACGTTTCATTGGATGCTATCCGTGGAAGGAGTCGTTTAAAATGCAACCACTAATGTCGTTACGGCCCCCGATCACGTTTGGACATACATGATGAAGGTAATATTGTTTGTAATTATTTTGTTCAATGTCTACTCATTTAAATAATAATCTCTTTAAACTTTTTTATAGAAGAACTCTGATGTTGTAACTTACTTGTAAATATTAAATTTTTATTATATCTTATATTTAGGCAAACACATTTGTATTTGCTTACCGACACATTGGGGATGATAAGTACGAAGAGTTGAAAACGGTGTTTGGATCAGCACCCATTAACATTCCACCTCCCGAGCATGAAATCATTATTTTGTCATCTGATGATGACGAAATTACTCCTGCTAATGAAGCTGGCCAAGTAGCACCACCCATCATTGAAGATGATGCATTTGATGCCGACTACGTTCAACCTATCTTTGAACACGGTCTATCCGAGAATGGTCGTGCAGATAATGTACCCAATGATTAACCAGTGAGTAGCCGTCAAAACCATGTAATCGAAGTGTCGTCCGGAAAATCGGCAAGCCCGTCATTCAACGTCAACAATTATCTTGCCTATATTTTTGATTCAGAGTGTTCACTTGAAACCAATAACAGCACAGCCAACTCCAAGAAAGTGGGCTCCCATGATGTTCGTAAGCGCTCTATATTGAAATCAAAATCGCACAACATGAACAAATACAATCCTTCAAACCCACCCAAAAGTTTATGTGGTTCAAACAGGCCGTATTTGGTTTACACGACTCCGGACAAAAAATGAAGTTGCAATTAGTGGTACCCTGTGCATGTTTTTGTGTCTAAAAATGAAAGGTTTAATATTAATTTTCCCATGGTACCCCGTCCGGTTTTGCTTTTCGTCTTTCCAGATGATGTACTTTCACCGCCACAATGTGACATGAAATCAGTGAATGTGTTGTTAGACATTTGAGGTTGTGGAAATGATTCATCATCAGCTGACATATGTTATGCTTCATTACTGCTCATTTGTGATCATTGATAGCATCGACGAATGCCTCTGAATTTTCACCGGTCGCACGATCTTTACCGAAGATGATTGTCCAATCCAGAAAGGCCATGCCTTGTATCGCATAGTGCGTGCATTCATGTTTGTCTGTTAAGTTTACACATATTATATTTACCTGAGTGAATCTAATATTAAAGTTTGTGTCGAATTACTCGAAAAATACCTTAATGTACTCCTGCCAAACTTGGTCATCAAACACGTCAATAGTATTTGATGAGTCATTCCACCCAAATCCGGATCTCGACATCATCGTGCTCAATGATCTGTACTGTTTTTTCCACACGTGTATCTTTGAGTTGATGTGTGGATCTGCCTTGAGATCGGTTCCGGGAAATGATTGTGCCATGGAGTTTTCAAGAGTCGCTAGATACACGGTTTTGAATCCGTTCTCGCATTTCCATCCCCGGTGCACGATGTCTTTCAAAGCCATAATAAGACTTTGTTCTTCCTGCATAGTCCATGTTCTCCGTGGCATCGCGGAACGATTCTTTCCCTTTGCTGATTGTTGAGACATTCAACCTGTTTCAATAAATCACCAAAAAAATTGTTATCCATAAACCATAATATTTTAATTCAAAATATGAATAATAAATTTATATTAGATGAAAAAAAGTGTGACAACCAATATATGTTACATTAGAAGATCACAAACAGTTAAAAAACCTTGAAAAAATGTTCACATTGGAATACATCAAAGGGCAAACAAAATAGCAAATTACATAAGATGATAATAAGTTCAAAACAATACAACAGAAGACTGGAAAAAAACAATTGCTCAAAGGACATCTGAGAGTTTCAACGATTGGCAAGATATTCATTATACATGGACATGGCAATATTGTCCCACCATGAAGTCCATTGTTGTGATGGTTCAACGTTTTCTATAAGCACTTCATCATTTTCCTCGTCGTCAGTATCTTCATCGCTG